GTCTGGCTTGGCAAGATGGAAAAATTATTAGCTTTGGAAATAGATGTGGCTGTGTTCGTGGCCGTGCTGACACTCACATGGCAGACACACCTCTCTACTAATGCACACGCGCCCACACATGCACAAACATACACAGACAGTGAGTCGGTACTATGTGGGTTGGAGTAATGCAGCTTTCTCTGATTCCATCCTTCCTGAAGAGGCCAGCTCACATTTCTGTTGGCTAGTGCCCCCTACTGAGGTTGGAAAGAGTGACTGAAAGTGTGAATGTGTGTCTGTATGTATCTGCTATCACCAGTGTGCACGCACTGAACTCACTCATGGCCCAAACTTAACCTCACTGACAGTATTAATTTACCATAACCGATGGCACACCAGGAAGCATGTATGAGCATGAGAAAAAAGACAGAGGTTATGCCCCAGTTCCAAACTAGATTCTGACAAGTTATTGAGTAGTGTGTTTGCACTGTAAATGTAACTAAATTAAGTATTCTAAATGTGGCATTAGTGGATACTATTACCCTACAATTTATAGTGAAAACAAAATGTGGGAGAGACTCACAGCTGGAAGAAATTTTAAGCTAATGAGGAACAGTGTTGAGACAGCTCCAGGAACAAAAAATATAAAAATAAAGTCTTTGGACAAACAATTTACTTTCGCTTTGCTAAATTTAATCGGAAATCGAGTCAATGGATTTATAGAGTGGATTTAAAAACAACAAATTTCAACAAAAATGTTCTTTACAGGGAAATTGCAGTGAAATGCATTAAAATAATGAAAGAGGATAAATATTAATTATAAACATCCATTGGTGCCCACTTTGTATTTCTGTTACGATAGAATGCTAAAGTATATAATTTCTTATATATAAACAGCCAAAATAGTATATTATGCTGGCAAATTAATGTGTAGTGAATGCTTTATTGGGTTTTTTAGCAGAAAGTGTTTGTTTGTGCATCTGTAGATGCATTTGAGGTACCTTAAATGTATTAGACCCCCCACCTCCAGTCAAGGTTAAGAGCTACTGACCTGCTACATTCCTGCTCTGTTTGTACAGTAACTAAGTTAGCCTACTTGTCAGGCAACACCTCAGCTCCTAAATCAGACATATACAAAGTGGCAGCGGAATACACTGGGGGGATTTAGACATGACAAGAGAATGAATCACCCTAATAGACTATCCCTTCTCCTCAAACAAGCTGCCTGGGTTTCAGCGCAAACACTCCAGTCGCCATTCACCTTGAGGTGCAGGCGAAGTGGTCATCCCTCACACTGGACACCGTGTGTGTTTGTGTTTTGCAAGGGCGAGTGTGTTCTGACCTTGTTTGAGCATCTCTAGGTCCTAGTAAACAGATAAGCCACTCAGGTCTATAAATAGTGGGTTTCAAATGGCGTGAGAAGACTTTCTCTGTCTTCGAGCGCTCTCTCTGGCATCCACCTTGTTTGTCTGTCGTCCCTCAGGTAGGGTGAGAGCTCTGCAGCTGCCAGAATATGTTGCCTTTTCAACTTCCTCTGGGAATCGCTGCTAAACAAGAACATGGGGGGAAAAATAGCTACAAGTGGTCAGAAAGTTTGCTTACATGGGATAAGTGTTGAAAGAGTACCCAAACATCACACTCAAGTAGAAATATACCGGAGCTACCTTGGTAAATATGTCAGGTACAGATGAAAACAATGGTTTAAAGAGCTAGTAAGGAAACCGAGGTTTTAAAATAAACTGAAACACAGCTCATTCTACATATCCAAGATATCAGAAAGAAAAAATACCCAGTAAGCTAATCTGATCAATTTTTACTACTCAAAACCATTGCATCATGTGTATTTTCCATGCTATATTTAAAGGAGAAAAGGACATTATAAACATACTGTTTTTAAAATGTCTACCCTTTAATTTAATCACTGCTAAGCTATGCTGATGTGTCCTTTTAGCTCGGGCTAAAGGGCTAACCTAGCTAGCAGAGACTGTGCTAACATTGATTGAAACAATACTGTTGCAGTTTTTCTTTACTTATATTGAATAAGTTGGTGTTATAGTAAATAATAAAGCATTATAATGTCACAGTCAGAGTCCTCTTCAAGGTCATGTTAATGCAGATGCCAACCATACACTGGCTATGATGTCAACAGACATTTTTTGCCACACACATTTTGATGTATCATAGTAGGAAAAGCACAGGTGTAACTCATAACGTTAATTCCATTGGCTGCATTCCATTTAGGTGTTTCCTGCTGTTATATAGCACAACTTACTGTGACAGCTGGAATGGAATATTTCCAGTCGTTATTGCTATTAGTTTCAACCGTGTCTTTCCTGCTAAACATCAAAATGCCTGCTGGGATAATAGTTATATAAGTTTATTTCTGGAGTAATGCCTTAGGCTAATTCTCAAAGGTTTGCAGCTACACTAAAGCTACTCGAGAGTAAAAAGAAAATCTAGTTAATCTAATCTAGTTACATCAACGCTGCAGACCACATTACCCTGAATTCCAAATGCATAAGTCAAAGGAGAATTTGATTTGAATCCTAAAAATATGAAGACAAACATACTGCTCTATCTTTGCCATATTTACTTCTCAGCTCTTCAGAAATCAATTAAACTCTGCACAGATTAGAAAAAAATTCCAGATCTGACCTCAGCTACCCCCCCTTGATGGTTAATGAGGATTGCTGGAAACACTGGCAGAAAACTGACTATGAAAAATAGAAAAAAAAGAGACTCGTGTCTACTTTATTAGATCAGATCAGACTAAGCAGCACATGTTTAACAGACAAATATTAATCTCCCACCAGATCTCCATGGGTCAGATGCTGCAGGAGTTTGGAAAGTTTTTGGGCCTCTTCCTGCTGGTGTTATTCTCTTTCACCATTGGACTCACCCAGCTTTATGGAAAAGACCATAAAGACCCAGACAAGAATCCACCCAAGGACTGCGAGGGCATCTTCTGCCAGCAACAGAGCAATGATGCATTCTACACGTATGGGCCAACCAAAGTCTGTCATTTTAGACAGTGATGACGACCGTGATGAATGTTCAGAATACTTGTTGAGAGATGTTAGAGGTTATATATATGTGGCTGAGTAAACACAGCTGGTACCATAATGACTGTTTTTCTAATGCATGATTTAAGTGTAAAATTAGATGTCATCAGAATATGTTTTTCAGGTTAAACTGTGCAATGCATCTGGCAGACATGTTGCCCAAATGCCCAGTTAAATCTATCTGCTTCTTCCATTTCACAGGTTTATGGGGACCTGCTACGCTCTGTTCTGGTACATATTCTCCCTTGCACATGTTGCGCTCTTCGTCACCCGCATCAGCTACACAGAGGAGCTGCGCTCTTTTGTGGGTGCCATGATCATAGGCACCTACAACATTGTCGTGGTTATTGTCCTGACCAAGCTGCTGGTGGCAATGCTCCATAAAAGCTTCAGACAAATTGCTGTAAGTGTAAACAACTTTTGGCCCAAAGGTTTCTCAACACTGTCATGGGTAATTTAAATTCAACTGTTGTCGTTTACTGTTGATTTCACTTTACTGTAACACCCGAAATGTTGCATATGTGTTTAATTGTTTTAGTCTTTGGAACCCAGCTGCACATTTTATGCTTCCTTTGAACCGCTGTTTGATTTTCATTATGCTTGAGAAAACAACTCCTTGTGCAAAAAACAAAATCCATTCCTTCAAAGATTTCCACAGAAATAGTGGGTCTGCATCTTCAGAATTTCTTCTAGAGAACAGCGTGTGAAAGTTAATTATCTCACATCCCTGTGTTCTCGATGTTCTTCTTGGCTTTTGGACCTCTGTAGAATCACGAGGATAAGGAGTGGAAGTTTGCTCGGGCCAAGCTGTGGCTTAGCTACTTTGATGACAAGTGTACCCTGCCACCACCGTTCAACATCCTCCCCTCCCCAAAGACTGTGTGCTACTTGGTGACCAGCATGAGCAAGTGGATCTGTTCACATACATCGAAGGGCAAGGTGAAGAGACAGAACAGTTTGAAGGTAAGAAAAATTGTTTGTGAAAGCAAAAAGGTAGTAGGCAAATGGCTGCCAGGAAGGGTAAATCCAATCCTTTCCTGTAATCCTAAAACAATGGTCATCTGTGCTTTTGTGCAATTTCACCAATCTGAATCCCTTCACTGTTTTTTCTATCCAGGAGTGGAAGAACCTGAAGCAGAAGCGTGATGAGAACTACCAAAAGATCATGTGTTGTCTGGTTCACCGCTACTTGACCTCCACGCGCCAAAAGATGCAAAGCACAGATCAGGCCACGGTGGAAAATCTGAACGACCTACGCCAAGACCTCTCCAAGTTTCGCAACGAGATGAGGGATTTGCTGGGCTTCCGGACGTCCAAATATGCCATGTTCTACCCGAGGAGCTAAACAAAGACCAGATATCTCTCCCCCTCTTTTCCCCTCTCCTCTTGACAAAACCTCTGCTTCTCGTTTATCTGGGATGCTGTGTGACCCGAGCATGTGCAAAAACTCTGCTCTTTGAAACAGAGAGGCAAACTTTTAAACCTGGAACTTAACTAGAAAAATACATATTCTCCACCAAAGCCCCCAGACTCAGGCCCCCCTATGTATTATTCAGCTATTCAAACTTTTTTTGTAAATAAGGAAAGCCATTGTTTTCAACAGAAAGACAAATAAAGACTTATGGAAAAACTTGACCTGCTGGGGCTTCAATGGCTGATACATTTTCCTGAATGCAGATCCTGCCTCTGAGATTTGAACTTACTTGCTGCTTTGTTTTCTCTCTCCTTGAAGACTGTTCTCTGGCCGCTCAGGTGTGAAATCTTGAAAACAGTCAGCTGTTCAGCCAACTTCCCAGCAGTCCAGTCCATGTGAGAGTCACATTACACACACCTGATCCTTTCTCATGCTTAGCAGAGCGTACTTGCCTTGACTGATCTCAGCTGACCAAGTCAAACATTATTTGTCATTATTTGGTTTCCAGTTGAAAGTTCTTGTACAAAGACGGCAAACAAAAAGGAAATTGTTACAGGAGTTTTATTTGGGCAGATGAAAACAATAAAATATAAATAATATTCACAGACTTTTTCATATGAAAATACTTTTCATTTCACACCTCTTCCTTTAAAAACAATGACAGTAAGTAAATGAAGTATGCCGATGGCGGTGCTTTGCATCTGTAAACAAACTAAAGAAAAGAGCTTTAGCTAGGAAGGTCCTTGTTTGTTTCACATAAAACCAGCATAAAAATCTTTTTAAAAGAATCATGTATATATTAAATATTGCACTTCAATCACCACATTTAAAACTTACAAACCCTGCCCAGTAAAATCGAACACCGTCAAAATTATCGGCAGGTTGCTAACATCATAATTAAACCTACAACAGCTGTAACAAATCCCCTTTGAATACCAGTGAGGTTTGAGATATTATAATTATTGAGATATTAAGATTATTCTGCCAGATATTGTTGTTTAATGAGCTAAACTTATATTGCACTCTATAGCCTCAAAGGAAAATAAAATTGACAGGCAAAATATAGAAATATATTTTTATATTAATGGTGCCATCATAGGATTTCAGAAAAGATGTACAGACTGAAAATTTTAAACAATCTGATTAATGTTTTGTCTTATGAACCACGAGTCTGCGAATTGCTACACACCATATTCTGGGCTCCTGTTACTGGCTACAGTATAATTCCCTGCTAGGGATATGACAGGAATGTGACTAAGCGGAGTGTGAATGGGCTGAGGATAGGGATGGAAATTTCAACTGATTTTGTCACTGATTAATCTGAGGTTGCAAAAAAGACTAGGTTGTTTAATAGAAGACAGACTGGAAGGTCTTAATTTCATCTTGTTTATCCTTAAACCCCGCAGTCCTCAGCAGAATTAATAAATACAAAAATCTGAGTTTCCCTTAATTGAATGAAAATGTCGATTTGAGTTTTGTGTTTCCAGATTTGGTTTTTTTTGTGACCTGTGTTTATGTTGTTGAGAGTTTTGCTTAATTGTTTCCATCCACAGCTGAGCCTCAGGCACACCAGTCCGCAGAGCTACTGGAGCTCAGCACCGCTTGTTTTTCAGAACGCTGAGTACTTTCTGGTTCTTTGTCTTAAACGCCATGACGAAGTGCTGAGGGGCGATTTTCCCCCGGCCCTCCTCGTCCACCTGGCCCATGAAGATGTAGTTCAAGCCTGGTGAGGTCACACAAAAAAAACCTGAATGCAGTGGCGGAACGGCAGAGACATTCAGGGAGGCCAAACATCAGAATCTCCACGGCACGCGGCGCATGTATGCTATATGTTTATATGCATACATATAAACATATTGAATGCTTGACTGTTTGGACAGTGAGTTCTTCTGCTCACCTCACACTTTGGGGCGAGCTCCGTCAACTGAGTGTGACGGCACAGCAGAGGAAGCAAACTCAGAGCCATAGGTTATTCAAAACAGTCAACCAGGAACTGCTGCATAGTAATTATCATCATTTAGATAATGAGCAGCTTTCTGCAAAAGTGATTTTATACATCAGAAAGTATATTCTGAAAACCAGTGAGCCAATTCAATTTTACCAGCGCGATGTACACTCACCTCTTCTGACAAATGGGCACTTCTTGCACAAGATAATGATCTTGGTGCTCATGGTCTTTCCTGCCTGCTGGATTGCCAGAGTGCCTTCTTTATACACGTTGATAATGGAGACAGTGGCGTACATACTTCCTCCTCTCATCACCGCCGTGATGACAGTCCCGGTTATTACTGTCGTACACACACAAAAAGGTGATGAAAAATACAATTAAACATACACAAGTGCAGAAATTCACCTGTAAATACACTATGCATTACATAAGAACACACTGTCTCATAAAGAAGAATAAAATTTAGTCTAGGCACCAGAGAAGTCAGCGATGCAGGCTAAGATAAATGGAAGTCTAGGTTTCGTGTCTGGATGGGATTTGGAAATGTCAGGCTAATATGTGTTAACCTAATTTAAAGCAAATGTTTCAACATCAGAGTGATGAAAGCCAGAAATTTACAGTGGGGACTTTAACAGAGAAACAGGTGCAGTAAAGGGAATCTGCTTTTTTATTGATATCATCAATAATCTGAGGGAAATGTGAACAATGTGTGGTAACTACGCTTTAATTCTTGTCTTTGAAGTGCACCCTATCTGTAAAGATGTCATGATGAATTAACAGCACAGGCTCTCAACATTTCCTTTCAGGCCTATAACACTCCCCTTATGACTTTTTAATGGCTCCTTCATCCACCCACAAGCGAATAGCTCCTCAAAAACCCACATTAAGGATATAGTTGACTGTAGTTTTAAGACTAGTTTTAAGATGAGCACCTAAGAATATGGCCTGTGACAGAAGTCACAAGTAAACGTGATTTTTAATTGTCCAGCAGACAGCTAAAATGTTTTGTGTGAGCAAAAAGTGACCCAAAATTATATATAAAACACATAGTAAATTAGTGCTTTTGCCCTCAATATTATTTTTGTGTTCTAGTAAGCAAAAACAAGTAAGACAGGCGATTAAAAATCTATAAGAAATCATCTTATAGGTTGAGTCTTTTCTTTCTGTTGGTGCTAAAAATGTGACAAACATGCAGGGTGAAGTTACAGTTATTTCCTGTTTAGTCTGACCAGGTCTCCAAAAGCACAAAAAAAAAAAAAAAAAATACAGTTTTGTTGTTTGGACTTGCAGACCATGGAGGAGACCTGATGTTTAGCGGTGGCAACAGAGTGATAGTGATGGAGCCAGTGGAGCGAGAGGGAATCACGTCTCATACAGCATGAACAGGATTCTTTACACTGATGGTACCAATATGTCTGGACTTCACATACTGTCTGTTTCATTTCCTGTCAGGGATGAGACTATCCAGAGAGCTGCCTGTTTCAGTAATGTTATTTTATCTGTTGCTACTGTTACACAAAGCAGCGAGCTGCTTTTGACAATTCAAAGTGCATGAAATTCTGACTTTAAGTGTTGATTAGACAAACTATGTTTAGTCTACTGTCTCCCCTGTTCATTAAAATGTGAGGTAACATGTCGTGTGCTGGTTCTGCCACCACATCACACGGGCGACTTTTTCCACATGCACCACCGCATCGCTTGCCTTTCCTCAGTTCCTGATGCGAATCCAAGCGAGCTCTTTGAAATGCCAGTCTAACGCATGTGGTAAACATCTCCGAGATGAAAACACCAGAGAGCGGGAGCGTAGCAAACGGTGGCCGAGCCTGAATCAACACGTTCATTTATCAACAGTCTCCCCACAGTCAGAGACTGAGCGCGCGTGTGTTTACACTGGAGGTAACTGCGTACTACTGTATACACTCCTTCACTTCCTGACAGGCTATCAAGGAAGTCTTTGAGATGTGCAAGGAAAAATCAGAGGAGCAAAGACAGTGACATGATCAGGACTACAAACTGCGTGTTAGGGGAGCTTTGGCTGCTGATGCTTATGTGGGTTCTGCTGACGTAAATCTCAGGAGTCTCTGTACTGCTCAGGTTCAGACTGTGTAGGATTAGAATGTATCTAACAGCAGATATGTTCAATAATAGCTGGAGAAAATCAGTGACTTCTTCTGTGGTTTAAATAAATTGCAATAAGTGCAGTGATGTTCTTACCAAAATTGCTGGAGCAGTAATTGCTCTCAAGTGTTCCCCGTCTTTTGCATTTCTGCTGGCACAGGGCGACAGAGTACTTCAGAGCTGTGGAGACACACACACACACACAAACACACACAAGAAAATTCAATCTCTGTAATTTTGCCTGCCAATGATGCAAGCATGTAAGTTATGGCTGCATCTGCTTCTACTGTGGTTTATTTCCAGAATATTCTCAGTAACACAAGAGTCTCTGGAAATGAATGACTGTCAGCCTCAGAGACAATGTACAGTGTGAAAAACGGCGAGATAATGTGACAAGTGAACATCTGTTTTTAGGGTTAGACATAGTAATGAGTCCATAAAGGAAAGCACCAAGACTTAAAGAAAATACAAGGTGGTTGTCTAAATATTATTCCTACTTGAGAGGGGAAAGTCAAGGAAGATAGGCCAACCAGAAAGCATTGTCACAGTATGACATCATGGCAGGGAGGTGCCAAAATATCCTGGCTAGACTTAGGGAAAAAACAACAGTGTGTGGGAATGCGAGTTTGAGTATGAAAATGAGCTGTGATTGTGGCTGCAGACACACGCCCCCCACACTGTATATGGGCTTGTTTTGTGTACAGTTTACACAAGAGGAACGTGAGCAAAGCACACCGTTTTAGCATATGCTGTGTTAAAACGTGCTGCTGTTGGCTGCATCTATAATCCGTCTTACAGGGGAGGATGATGCATCACAACAGCACATTTAATAGTGAAGATCCACTGTTTAGTTTGACTTTAAATATTTTATGTAAACAGAATATTTGTACTTATGTTAGCTACTTCTTCAGATGTGGTCTAAATCAGCTCTGATTCAGAATTCATAATCATAAGCAGAGGAAAAAGAGCTTTGGAGGAGTTAATTGCCTCCACATTGTACTGTTACTTAAGCATAACACTTCACTTATTCGCTCTCTTGCCCAGATCTGCTATCGGAGGCAGATTCCAGATCACCCCGTTGTGTTTAAAGCGAAAGATAAACCCCACATGTGAGCAAGAGAATCCAGTATTACAAAGCCAATATAGTCTCATAGCTACATCAACAAATACAGATGTTCGAAGTCTTCCAGAGGTTTTTATTGGATAAAAGTTGCTACCTACGTATGGGCCTGGTGGTGACTGGTTGTGTGGTAGTGGTGGGTGGTATCGTGGTGGTGGGGAATTTCTTTGGTCTGAACTTGTAATGTCCAATGAAGCCGTCTGCGGTTAGACTGAGATCAGACAGGAACTGGATAAGGAGCTGGTTCCCCTCGGAGAACACAGGCCTGCAGAGCAACACACACAACCAGAGGGAGGGTAAACTGAGATGAAGTCATACTCATGGATGTTTTGGTTAAATTGAAAATCTTCTGCATGACGGAATCACCTACGCTGGGGGGCTGTCTCCGCAGTATTTGCCAATCCTCTTAGCATCGTTGATTTCTGCCCCGTTGAAAATGGAGACGTGATCATAGCGGCAGTAGTTATCTCTTTCCACGTCAAACTTCTCAAACTTGACTTCAATAATCTGCAGGAAGAGAAACAAAAGAAAATCCTTTTTCAACTGCCATAAGCTTTTAATATCAGACCTGGGCGTTAGATTAAAGGCTACTCTGTCAGTTGTGGGTTGATGTTGTCCACACCCATTATACACTGAGTTGTATTAAAAAGACAGTATAGGTAACATATTCACTAAAACTCAATTTGTTTAATGATCACTACCCATTGGGAATCTACATATCACACCTCCTTTTACTAATGAAAACTCATTTTAAACATTCTGACCTGGTTCTTTGGTGCCACTATGTGCCAGGAGCAGGTGACTCCAGCTGGGTAGTCCTTCTCAGGCCAGTTGGGGGTTTTGAAAGTCCCAGAGGGCTTGTCCAATCTGCCTCCACAGTACTGGTCCCCTGTGGAGAAATGACTGACTTTAAACTTGGATCATCATCAAAACTCTGACTGCACAGTTAATCAGCAAATCATCATTTATGTTTCTTGAAGGAAATGGTTGGAAATAGATGGTGTAAATTATATGATAATGGAATGAACCACTTGTCTACTTCAAAAGGCGCTCTCATTGCCTTCTTTGTTATTATGAGCACCCTAAAAAGCAAGTCATCCACTAGCCCTGTGCAGTTTGCGGTTTGAAAGAGAAGACACACTCCCAGTTCCGTCAAACATCTGAGAAACATCAGTGTAATAACCCCACAAGCTCTTTAGACTGTCAAAGAACTGAATCACTTAAAGGCGTGTTTTCTTTTGTAACATACACTTAGATTGATGTTTCCTTTCCAGCATGTCTAAAGAAGTACAATTTAATGCAATCGCAAAAATAGACACTTAACAAACAGAGGGCATGTTGTGCTGTACAGTTTTGACAACGCTCAGAGACAGTATAGCAACAGTTTATCTGCTACCATCCACTGTGTAAGAGCCAGGCAGGCTGGTTAATAGGCATTGTCCACTGCAGCTGACAGCTCCTTGGGTACAGAGAACCAGTCATTAAAATTCCACAAAAACAATAGACGAGGCTTTTGCAACCCTGCAGAGAGGAAACAGTTCATTCAACTCAGAGTGATACTTCTGACCTGTGCTTACTGCTGAAGTGCTCCAAAAAAAAGTTTCAGCGAGACATTCCACATCAGACTGTGAGAAGTGTTGAGATGTTGCTCTCTTTTCGTCAACATGCTGGAACCTTAAACTGATAGCCTCGTCTCAGACACATGCAATCCCCAAAGGTCACTGACTTTTACTGAGAAAGACAGAAAGAAAGAAAATCTATACTCCCTTTTATTTTTACTTTGTGTCTGCATCCGGTGGAAGTGTTTCACTGATTTATACAAAAGCTGAGCTTAAGGGGGGAAATTTCTTTCTTTCTCTGTCTGGGCATTGTGGCAATGACCTCACTGAGGCGATTCATGTTAAACAGCCTTGTTAATTTGCTCTATAAAGATTGACCTTCTGCCCAAACAGACGCACTCCCAGGCCAGTATCAGATTCCTGTATGGAGTGAAGTCATGACGGAGACAAAATCCCACGTGGCTCCGTATTACATGCTTGGGTAGTGGCAAGATATTCTCTACGCAGCCGCTACCCTTGCACCCTTGGCACCTATGAGTAAAAAAGCAACATTATGAGGAAGCTACCGAAGAAGACCATTCCCCCAGCTTCTTCTTTCCATGTTGGCCTACCTCTCTCATGCGGGTGGGCAGCAGAGAAAACAGCCAGGAAGCCACTCCCAGCGGTGTTGGCATCAGATACCATCTGCAGGAGCATCTTGTTGCCCGTGGAAACCAGGGCTCCTGGCTTGAATGTCCCACAGAAGCGACCGAGTCTCTGCCCATTGGCATGCCCGCTGTAAACATCAACATAGTCGTAGCGGCACAGGTTGTCGCTCTCCAAGTCAATAAAGCGGAATGACAGGACCACCACCTTACCCTCAGGGACCTGGGTGGGAATTTAAAAGAGAGCATTAAGGCCAACTTTCACATTACTGATATTATTGAGTGATAAAATGACACCATACACACACACCTTCCAGCAATACTGGATAATATGAAACAATGATTTACACATGATATTACATTTACTAAACCTGATACTTGTGTGGATCAGGTTATAATTTCAGCCTCAGCTACACCATCAGCTTCACTGTTTCAAAGTACAGTAGTCTAAAGGAGCCTGTCAGCAAAAACTTGCTTAAGCTGGCTGGGGCTGTGGTTAAGTATTTTTAGAAGGAAATTAGGAGTTTGGGGTTAGTGAAAGAGTATCAGATTGTGCAGCTGTTTGGTGTGTTTTTAATTAACAATTTAACCATCAATTTGATCACTGTCATTTTTCTAGGCTATGGAAAGAAAGCAAAACATGTGAATATGAATATTAGACTCACTGTGATTCTCCACACACATTTGGTATTTGGAGGGTAAACTCCTGGGTACCCCTGGCTCCCGATTACTCCAGTATCCCCTGTGATGTTTCCGCCGCATGTGAAGGTTGGTCTAGGAGGAGGGGGGGAGAGAAGAATGTTTTCTAATTTCCATATATCAAATGAGGATGCTGTGTTCAAACAATAAACAGGTATAGCCATTAAAGACAGCCTGCGGTTGATTTTGACACAGATTTAATTCCTCGCCAATGCGCCACATGTTCTGACTGGAGGCAGCGCAGACTGCAGAATATTCCTCTAGATAAACTCCAGCTCCTCCACAGACTACACGGGATCCTTGACACCTTGCGCACTGATAAAGCTCTCAAATTAATTTAAAAAATAAAAAATAAAAATAAAAATGTAAATAAAGGTGTACCTCTGCTGAGTCTGCGCACAGACCTCTGCCAAAAACAGTAGACTCCATGCGCAAAAAATACTGCATGTTCTCCACATTGTTGGGTTAACAGAGCAGGCGCTTCGCCTGTTTTCGCCCCGTGGCAGCATGAATGGCATTGTGTTCAGCAGCGCAAACGGTGGGGAAAAGTACCCAGGAGTTCCTGCGGGGAGTTTCAGTAACTGCAAGCTGGAGCAGATGAATATAGCGTTTGTTCTGCGTGGTTGGAGGGAGGGAGCACAAGCTGCTGCTGCCCCCCCCCCCCCCCCCCCCCCAAAAAAAAAAAAAAAAAAAAAAAACGATTATAGACGCGCGGGGAGGGTGTGGGGTCCCGCATTAGTTTCATACGCCACCTGGTCTGAAAAACCTTGGAGGAGATGGCATGAATAAACTTGACTCAAGAAGACATAGATAAACTTTGGCATTCCAGTCATTATGTACCATATACACATGGCAGAGACATCATACATACCCTACCCATAGTAGCAACTCAGTGCCTGCAGTACATATTGTATATTGACCAGATGTAGAGTGATAGAAGACAACTGGGGACTGTTCTTTTGGAGGAATGTAAATTTTACACCAGCTGACACATCATTAAAGATAGATCGTATCGCCGTAAGCTGTGTTGAATAATATGCACAGGTAACAGAGTCACACTGCTACTGGAGAGCGATAGAGGGCGAGCGCGCCACCTGCTGGAAATTAAGTCTATAACTACTTGGTGCATATTTCATTATAGTTCGAATTGACTCTTGACTATTTTTATTTTGTGACTATAATAATGAAATTACTGGATACCATACAGTCAATATAGTTTTGTCTTATGCTATCTATGCAGCTCTTCGGTTAATGCGAAGCCACGACTCTAAAACCACTGACAATAAAGCAAATGAGAAAAGATGTTTTAATTAAATTTTTCATGTAAAGGAGATTTTGTTTTGTCTCTTGAAACACGGCTCCGGTTGCAGTTTTATTTGCATGTGAACGTGGTCACTAAAGCTTGGTAGAGAAAATAAGTTAAGCCATCGCTGATTCGGTGATTGACTGTGCCGCCTGGAAGTTCACATTTGTCACTATCTTGTAATCGATGATCGATTTTATTTTAGTTCCACAAAAGATGGCGGACCGAACGCCTGGTGGCTCTCAAAAAGCTAGCGCTAAGGTGAATATACCCTTTGTACTTGCATTAGCTAGGTCTCGTCTGTTGCAATGAAAATGTCAATGACAGTATGCTCGAACAACTTTGAGTATTTTCGTATTTGTAGACTGCTGGAGACAAGAGTTGCAAGTGTGCGCAACGGTGTTAGCTAACTACCAACGCGCTAAAGCTAACCTTTGGCTCTCCGGCCACACTGACTAATTTTGCTAAGCTAACGATTTAGCCACCAGAAGCAGGACAAATCAGGGCAGTTGGCCTAGAAATTAATATTGTTCGTACAGCTAGTCAGTGATATTGACATGGCTAGTCTTCAGAACAAAGTTCAGTTGATATATGTTTGAATTAAGAGACATAAAATTGAATACTTGGGAACGTGGGCCTTCAGCCTTAGCTTCTTGTAGTAATCATTCGCCGCTCAATGGATTCTGTCGGTGGCGCTGCAGCAGATACCAGCTTGTTAGGCCTCTGGCTAATTTTGCTTATTTGAAGTTATTTCCTGATGCCTAGCTGCAACTAGACAGAAAATATGCAGAAAATGCAACTTGCAAAATGACCATCGAATGTCTGGCCGCAAACTACGACACCCATTTTCAACGTAGTATGAGTTGCTTGGTGTCAACATAAAAAACCCGCTTAACTTACCTGTCAACATATTCGCCGCCACTCCTTAGAAATCATCCGATTAGTTATAATAATAATTACTACCACTGGAGCAATGGCCATATTTGTGTTGGCCTCGATATGTTATATGCACCAATCAAGATTTATATGTCTATGACACTGTGAAATACCTGTTGAAAGTAAACCTAGCTTTGTTTACATCGGCAGGCGCTCCTTGAGAGCAAACTAAAGTCTTTCAGCATTGGCAAGATGGCAGTGGCAAAGAGGACACTAAGTAAGAAGGAACAAGATGAAATAAAGAAAAAAGTAAGTTCGGACTTCCTTTTTTAGTTAGTCTTTATTATCTGTGATAATATGCAAGATGCTTTTCAGTAATTTAATCAATGTGTATATTGAATTCTGGTGTTCAGGAGGATGAGCGGGCAGCGGCAGAGATTTATGAGGAGTTTCTTGCTGCTTTTGAAGGAGGAGGGGAGGGCAAAGTCAAGGCCTTTGTCCGTGGTGGTGTTGCGAATGCAACAAAAGGTACAGCATTTACATGATTTTTTTTTTTTTCCTACATGGATTGCATGACATGTGAAACCACAAGAGGTGACATCTTCTGACTCGAAAAAGTGAAATGATAATGCAGTGGAAGTGAAATTTAGAACAAACATTCTTTCTCCTTTCAGAAGAAGCAGCTGCTGATGACAAGAGAGGAAAGTTGTACAAGCCCAAGTCACGTTTTGAGACCCAAACAAAAAGTTTCTTGCCTTTGGAAACCCCACCTCAGTTTTTAGCATTAGACAAAAGACATGTAAGTACTATCACAGTCAACAAGTAGTCTCTTTTCTTTCTGCTGTAGTAAGAAATGCTTTGTTTTTACTGTGCTGATAATATTTCCACATCTGTGTTACAGCCTTTGAAGAAAGGTAATGAAAAGGAGAAGAAGAAGAGCAACTTGGAGCTCTTCAAAGAAGAACTTAAACAGTAATCTTTTTTTTTTCTTTTCTTTTTTAAACAGAATTTTAGAATTTTAATGGTGGAATGGTGCCGTTAAAAGTAAGTGTTGCAACAATTTAAGCATAGTTTGCACTTAAATGTATTTTATGCTGTTGCCTACAGAATACAGGAGGAAAGGGATGAAAGACACAAGATGAAGGGACGTGTTAGTCGTTTCGAACCTCTCTCGGGCATGGACGGAAGACGCTCATGTAAGTGTCTTTATGCTGCATGTTTGTATTCCATGTACTAACTTGGCCTGGAATGGCCCTGTCCTGCACACCTTACTCCACTCCCCTACCCCCCTTGTCCACTTTTGCCCTGAAACAAAATTTATACTGCTTTTCTGCTTCTTTTAGCGGATGGTTCTTCAAGAAGAAACCGTCCGTCCAGTGGTAATTTTGACTTAATATAGTGGCTGTGAATACCTTCATCTTGCTAAGAAAATATCTTGTCCTGTCAGACAGCAGTAGGAAATTCTTCTCTCTTCTGTCTCTGCAGTTTTGGATGATTGTGCTCCAGGTTCCCATGATGTTGGAGACCCATCCACTACTAACTTGTATCTGGGAAACATCAATCCACAGGTAAATTTGCACACAAACAAACAGTATATGGTGCGGAGAAGAGAGATGCTACAGCACTGACTGACATGCCTTTGCTGTGAACAGGAGGATTTAAATTAAGTCTCATGCTTTGCTTATGGACTGACTAAATTCCAAGTTAAAACATGCTGCTTATGCCATTTATTTAAATTTGATTAAGTTATGCAAATATTTACTAAGTGTCCAATTATGAAGAAGTAATTTTTCTGTGTATATTCACTGTATTTATCTTTTTTATTTTGTAGATGAATGAGGAGATGCTGTGTCAAGAGTTTGGCCGATATGGCCCGCTGGCCAGTGTGAAGATCATGTGGCCGAGGACAGACGAGGAGAGGGCTCGGGAGAGGAACTGTGGCTTTGTGGCTTTCATGAACAGGAGGGATGCTGAGCGAGCACTCAAGAACCTAAACGGTACAAAGCTGTGTTTCTTTATAATATACATATATATATATATTATATTAAAGAGATGACATACTTTGATTCTTTCCAGCCCTTGTAATATATTTTTTTACTGCCATTGCAGGAAAGATGATAATGAACTTTGAGATGAAATTAGGATGGGGCAAAGGTGTGCCCATCCCACCCCACCCCATCTACATCCCTCCTTCCATGATGGAGCACACACTCCCACCGCCTCCCTCTGGCCTTCCCTTCAACGCACAGCCCCGGGAGAGGCTAAAGAACCCCAATGCTCCCCTGCTTCCTCCACCTAAAAACAAGGAGGAGTTTGAGAAGGTAACTCAACATGTCAGCCTAGGATTTTCTCATGGGTTATGGCAGTGTTTTGTTAATTCTGCTGGTGAGATGTTAGCCTTTGTAATGAGCAGTCAGTGCAGGTATTGAATCTAGTTTCTGTAAGTGATAGATTTTGTCCTGTTCACTGAATTAGATTAGTTCCACTATGTATCAAAGTGTGCGTATAATGAAATGTTAGTGTGTGGAAACTGCTCAGTGTTACAGAGAGGTGTTTATGGTTAATGAAGTGTCAGAGGTGTGTGGCCTTTAGTAAAACTGACAGCAGTAAAGGAAAGTTGTTGTCTTTTTGCACTTTTAAATGCATTTTACATATTTTTCACCTGTTGCCTTTTTAACAATACTCACGTTCTATGTTTATTATCTGATGTGACTTCATATACAGACTCTGTCGCAAGCCATAGTCAAAGTGGTTATCCCAACAGAAAGGTACATGTTTTTCTTTTTTTAAATTGGTGTTCAAACTTAGAAAAAAACATCCCATAATGAAGCTAAAAGTTTGATCAGTTGATCACTGCATGCTACAGGGGGCTGGTCAGTGTGGGTGAGCAATGGTTGAGGCAATTGTACGATGTCCTCATATTAGTACATAGAATAATAATGACTGACAAGTTTGTCGTGTACCGTGCTCTCTCACATCCTACCATCATTCATATTTCCTCTTAAGTATGTAGCGACACATCATTATAGAGCTTATTTAATGTGCTGTGTAGACAAAAATCATGACTTTAGTCCATCACAGTTCCACTCCATACATCAACATGTAATTGTGTTGCTCAGCTGTAGTGACATGATATTCTACCACATACATAGCCTGCTGATTCTAGATCTGTAGTTGTGAAAACATGCTTTCGGACCATTGCTCACTCAGACCGTCTACCCCCTTGGCCTCTGTCACCCTATCGGGAGCTCAGTAAATCTGGCCCCTGCCAACAAATCCAAACCTGCCAGTATTAGTCTTTCTATGACCTTTGACATTGGCCTTGGTGAGCAGCACAAGTTGAACTGTCTGCAGCAGCGAGGGACCTGAAAAGCATCATGGGATGGATTG